AGCAGGAAAAGTAGCAGTTAAGTATGTTCTTTATGGAGTATGTAGTCCTTAACATCTGTTCATAATCTAAAAATGTGTTGTTTGAAGATATTTTGCTTCCAGCTCATTTTTCAGATTTAATTCTCTCCTTAAAAATGTGTTTTGTAGTTTAATTTTTAAGTGTCATCTGCTCCCAATTTGTATGCCTTAATCCACATTACAAAACGGTTAAAGTTGTTCTACTGCTAGTTGATGTAGAAATGATTATGAAGTAAAAAAAAAAAAAAAAGCATTAAAGGGTCCTGTGTTTCTTCTTGGGTACGACAAACACTGAAGAAAATCCATGCAAAGAACAGATTTTCCATTATGCCCACATTCTTCCCATATATTCTATCATATGGAAACACAAACAGGGCTAGATTAGGAAATATGCTCAAAAAGCAAACTCCTAAAGACAAGAAAAGGTCTGTAATTCCTGTAAATGTTCTTTGCAATCAAACTATAGGCAAAAGTCTGCTGATAATTTTTTCAATTTAAATAATTTTCATTAATGATTTCTTTAAATTGATGTGAGGCAATAAACTCACCACGAAATGAAGCTATTTTAGCTAAGCAGTCACTAGTATAAATGAGTCAATTTTAATGAGACATGCTCCTAAAAATCCAAAAGACAGAGGGAAGCAGGTAATAAACTCTGACAAACCAACCATATTTAGATGAAACATCTAAATGAAACCTATGGGGGAGGATGGGGGTAGGGATTCTATTCTGGCTAAAATAATGTTTGGTGGTGTTTTTTTTTATTCTATGCACTAAGGAAAACAATGTGGGTTTGAATCTGCTGAGAAACGACTGAAAGTATGAAAACTGCAGTTGGGTTGTAGAACTAAAAAATTACAGTATTTGCAAAATTTAGAAACAGCAGTATTCAGCTATGCAGATGAACAGTGGTTTGGGGTTGGTTTTTTTTTTTTTTAATTATTTTAAATCTGGTTAGTACATAGATCAATTTTAATGTTACTATGAAACATATATATTTTCT